TAGCGTGGCAGAGCCAGCAGAGACCCCCGGCGGGTAGCGGCGAGGAGCGAGGTGCCAGCAAAGCCGCATCAGAGCCTGCTGCCAGTTTGCTTCTTTGCAAAAAAAAAATTAAATAAAATAAATGCAAAACCCGACGACGTTTCCTGCCGCCGAGGAACGAAAGAGCCCGGTCTGTACTCACCGCGCAGGAAAGCAGAGGAGTAGGTGGCGAAGGAGTCGAAGATGCTGTTGGAAGCCATCCCCCTCGTCCCGTATCCCGGCTCCCCTGGAGGAGCCGTTGGCTGGCGGGAGGAGGAAGAGGAGGGATGGGAGAGGCGGCAGCGAGGGGGAGGAAGAGGAAAACCCCGCCGGCGGGGCAGGGAGGACCTCTGGTTGGGTGGTGGTTCTGTGGTCGGTACAGCAGAGCCGCCGGCTCGGCATCCGCTGGGTGGGAGAGCGGCGTCACCTGATCCGTGGCGTCAATGGGCCGGTGATATTGCTGCGGCTTCAGGGTGCTGGGGTTGGGTTTGGGTTGTTTTTTTGTTGTTTTTTTTTTTTTAAATATATATTTTTTTTTAATTAATAATTTTATGGTTTGTAGTTGGTGGTTCATGGGAGGCTCGCTCGGACTCGCGGCTGAGTGACAGACGGGAGCAGAGGAGACATTTCTCTTTAATTAATTATATTGTCGCCTTAGAAGAAACGAAGAAGAGAGACCGTAGATTCCTAATTGGGTGATTGAAGTAATAACCCATTTACATGCCGTTATTTTTTTTTAATTAATAATTTTATGGTTTGTAGTTGGTGGTTCATGGGAGGCTCGCTCGGACTCGCGGCTGAGTGACAGACGGGAGCAGAGGAGACATTTCTCTTTAATTAATTATATTGTCGCCTTAGAAGAAACGAAGAAGAGAGACCGTAGATTCCTAATTGGGTGATTGAAGTAATAACCCATTTACATGCCGTGGTTTTCTCCTTTTAACTGCCTTTTCTCCCACATTCACCACTTGTCTGTATCCTAATTTTGTGCTGCACACGGCTTTCCGACTCCCAGCTGGGTCTGGGGACTGCGTGCTGAGACTGCTTCCATATGTGTAGATGGGTGGTTCTTCTTCATAGGGATTTTATGTGAATTAGTATTAAGCAAAAATATGAAGCACATGCGGCAGAATAAACAGTGCTGGCTGCGGAGGGGGGACCGGGGAAGGTGGAGAGGGCTGGCGAGGAGGAGGAAGAGGAGGAAGGCAGTGGGTACGGCTGACCTCCTGCTCTGCCTAAGTAACAGCAGATAATTTTTGTATATTTTTTTTAAGTAATAAAACCAATCCAGTAATACAGGCCCAGCAAGTTTCCAGGAGCACCTAAAGATGCCATTTCTGCTGGACCACAGAAACGCCAGCACCCAACGGGTGCTCAGGCCCGGAATAGGAGCCGCCTTCGGACACTGCCTCGCCTGGGGCTGATGGGTTTTCTCCTAGAAAATTGCCATTATCACCCTCAGAGACGAGTTTTCCCTAAATGGGAAGAACTGTCAAATTGAAACATGAGATGATATTTGTCCTTTTCTTTTTTCTCCTCGTAAGAAAAAGCAAAGGGAGCTCTCCGGTGGAGTAAAACAAACGCAAACCAAGCCTGAGTGACCGAAATTCGCAGGCAAATAGGACCCAAGGCAGAAGACACTGGCCATCAGGGCACACAAGTACGATTTCAAGGTATTTGGAGAGTCTGGTGTTCATCACGCCTTGCTGCTCACCGCTGTCCTTCTCCGTTGAGCTTTTCGTCCGATGGACGTTGGCGGTGGGACGTATCGAGATGTTATCAGCTGAGACGTTATGGATTCCTGCAGCGCTGTTAGAGGCTGGGGAAAAAAAAAGAGCCGGTCATATTTACTGCGGCTGAAAACTGCTTGTTTGCTGCTTTTAAGCAAAGAGGGGGAAAAAAGTGGTTTCAGAGCGGTGAAGGGGGCAGAGGTTGTGCAAACGCTGGCACAAAAGGAAAGGGAAAAAACAACCCAGCCTGGAAAACACCCACTGCTGCACAGAGAGGGGTCTGTGGCACTGAACAGCATCACCTTGTCTCGCTTGCCAGACACCCACCACAACCACAGCTCCAACCCCGGCGTGTGAGGCTACAGGCAGCGAAGTCGTTTCTACCAGAGCGGTGGCATCGCTCCCCTCCAGCTCCCCAGCAGCGGGGGAAGATGGTCCCCTGGCCCCCGCCGTGGTCCGGAGGGGAGCAGGGCGGCTCAGCCCAGCAGCATCCCGCTTGCCACCCCTGCCTGCTTCAGGCTTACGAGCCTCTTGGGCAATATGCAGGGATTTCAGGCTATTTGGGGATTTCATGGCTCCTTGCCTGCAGAAAAGGGGTGGGAGTCGCAGCCCTCACCTGGCTTAGGTCCCACTGAGGCTGATGGGGAGAAAAGTCAGGATGAAGGGGAAGAGAAGGGGAAGGTGCTTTTAAGGTATCTTCCCGCTCCCCACATTGTTAGGTGCCAGATGGGAGCTCTGATTCAGCTGCGCTGATTTACACGCTGACCAAACGGCCTTCAACAGCACTAATTGGGGGAGGCTCTGGATGGGGCTTTTCTTCTCCATCACCCTCCCACCGCCCCCTTTTCCCTAAATCATGGCTGCACCACCCCAGGGACATGGTCCTGAGCCCCTTCAGCACAGCCAGGGCTTCTGGTCCTGGTCATCATCCTCATGCGATCCACAAAATCAACCTTTATCCTAAAATTTCTCCTCCTGCCCCTTCAAATCAAGTTTTTTCCCTCACGTGGGGCTTTACATCGAAAAGCTCCCAGTTGCTCCTGCAGTCAGATGTAAGGGGCGTTACGGGGCTGCAGCCTGCTGGGTATTCCATACGTTATCTAAGCCGGTACCTATCTGCAGTCAGATGTAAGGGGCGTTACGGGGCTGCAGCCTGCTGGGTATTCCATACGTTATCTAAGCACGGTACCTATGTGGCGCTGGCAGCACGCATCAGGCAGATTAACGACCAGCCCAGGCAACGCACTTAATTACACACATTTATTTGCATCTAGGTGGAAGTCACGGACATCCCCAACGATTTAGCGTTCGCCCGTACTCGGGGAGATCCAAAATTCCTCCCCAAAGCCCCACGATGCTCCAGAGCGATTTGAGGACCGAACCCACCTTAAATTCTTGCCCTTTTACATCCGTTTACAAAAATGGGTCCTTTTTCCTTAGCTGTGTTACCAGGGGAGCTGCGAAATGGAGCCAGGATGAGGTGAAACACCTATCCCATAGAAAGTACAAGGGAATATAAACTGATCGAAGGAGCCTTTGGTTTTAGTCTGGCTTCTGGGATTAAAGACATGGTTCTATTTGTACGTGCAAACCACGGCTCGGGAATGGGCACGTTTTAAAAATAACTGATTAGAAGCTCTTATGCAATTAATCCACCGCTGGGATGGTCCCTCCTGTTCAGAGCCTGGTGCACAGTTCTCCCCTGCAGCCGCGGTGTGGGGTTGGCTTTCGGGTGGGTTTATTCCCTGCGTGTCCGGCGAGAGCTCCGTGCCAGCTAGAGGCAAGCGGGCACGTTGCAGAGGAGGAATGTTTCCTGCTAATAATAATATCGATAGAAAAAAAAAAATCAGACACCCCAGCCCCAAACCTTCCCCCTTGCTCTCACCACCCCGAAGCTCTGGATTCGCTTTGTGGGCATTGCTGTGACTGAAAGGCAAACCTGAAAAGCCACCGAGCCTTAATGCTCCCCTGCAAACACAACCCCAGCCCCGAGCCAGCCCGGCTGCAGCTGCACGCTCCCAACCAAAGCGCAGGTACAGCAACCAGCATTTGCGCCCTCGCTGCCTGCACCCCAGCTGCCTGCACCCTGCTACCTGCACCCTCGCTGCCCGCGAGCCGCAGAACCACCCAGGCATTTCTGCTTTAGCAAACCCACCGGTTTTACCCCCAGCAAAGAGCTGCTTCTAAAAAAGATGTGACGGTCCCTGCAGCAAGCGGGTCGCTGTATGTGCAGCCGGCGCCGTGCGCTGGTGTGGCAGAGGGGCTTCGCAGCTCAGCCGCTTCCTCCGTGGCTCAGCCAAAACCGCGGCTGGGCGCAGCCTCCTGCCTCGCCCCGCGCCGCCAGCTCTCGCCTCCGGGAAGGGGGGGGCCAAACCCAGCTCCCAAAGGTGCAGGCAGCGGGTCTGGCAGCGCCGTACACGCACACACGTGCACAGCTCCCCGTGCAGCCCAAGCGCTGGCACCCAGACACCAGGGAAATGCAAGAATTAAAGGCTTTAGCACCCGCAGGTCTGATCCGTAGGGAAAGCTGCTGTAGTGCTCGGTGCTTCCCAAACAGCGTCACTATGTGCAAGGCAGGGAGGCGGGATGGGGCTTTCACTTCGTACACGGGAAACTGAGGCACGGGGCGATGGGGACTAAAATGTCCGTTCATTTGGGGAGATGATTGAAAGCAAAGAAGTCATGCCCTTAACAGCGCACAGCCCGGCACGTCTGCGATCTGCTGTATCATTTCAGCACGCAGCATTTTAGCCAACCCGGCCACAGCATCTCACCCAGCTGTCCCAAAACAGAGGGGCCGCTCGTGACCCTCTCTAACACCCCGGGCTGATGGCGGTGCCCAGCCAAGCCTGGCCGGGGCAGGACTCACTTGCCTGAGCCATGAGGCCACGGCGGCACATCCCTGCTCCACCGCCAATCCCAGCACCCAGCCCCGCACTGGCTCTGCCCGAAGCCGTGGGAAAGGAGGCATGTGATCGGCTCCATAAAAACAGTCACGACCCGGGAACAACTCACGGCTGTGTCTGAGCTTCACCCCGGCCCTTCCTCGCTGGCGCCAGGGCGCTCCAGGAATGCCCATGGCCGGTGCACAGCACCTGGCCGTGCGGAGCCGCGTGGGCACGCATGTGTGGTGAGCG